GAGTTAGAAGCCCTCGAGTTGAGCTGGGGAACGACAACTCTGGGACTCATCCATCAGTGAGAGGTCTCCTGAGCATTCACTAGTTCACTACTGGCTGGAGCCCCAGGACAAGGCTGTGTGTGTGTGTGTGTGTGTGTGTGTGTGTGTGTACGTGTACATGGTTGACTCGCTCAACTGCTAACTGAAAGTTGGGTAGGCTTGCGTTCACCCAAAGAGGTTGTGGAAGAAAGGCCTGGCGATGGACCGATAAAAATCCAGCCATTGCAGAGACCTCTGGGAGCCCCGTTCTACTCTGACGCACAGGGATTGGCAGGAGTGGGAGTGGACTCCGCAGTACCGAGCATGTTGTGGGCCAGGTGGAAATGGCTTCTCCTCCCCTGCAACTTATGTTTGAATGGAGGGAGGCTGCTCGGAGGCAAAGCCATAGAGTCAGTGATGTTGGACGGCGCCAGGTTGAGATTGGAACCAGGATCATTTGAGGGTCTGTTGAGAATCTTCCTACTGTGCCCTTCCAGCTTTTCCTATTTCCATAGACTCTAAGACCATGGACACACACACACACACACACACACACACACACACAGTCAGTCAATCAACTAACAAACTAACCAACCAGCCAACCGACCAACCAACCAACCAACCAACCAACCAACCAACCAACCAACCCACCCACCCGGCCAAGGGCCCCCATCCTCCCACGTCCCCTGAACACAGGAAGACGGAGAAGCTGAGGATGGGTTAGGATGAGCCTCATTTTGAGAGGCAGCAGAACTGGGCAGTAGTTCTGACTGGTTGGAGGCCCCTCAGCTGGGGAGTGATTGTTGACCACCCCGGGCTCTAGGGTCCCCACGAAGATGAAGCAAGTGGCCTTTCCTCTGATGGACTCCACTGGCCAGGGAGGTGGCCCATCTTGGACTGGTGAAAACATTTGCTCAATGATTGAGTGGTTGGAAAGCATCTCCGTGAGTTTTCCAGTTCTAGAACTGCCCACCCCCCCAGACACCCGCAAGTGCTGGGTGGTCTGTCACGCTACCCGAGAGGGACAGTGGATCAGGGAACATTGTAGACATTGGTTGCCTCGATAAGATTGAGCACTCGCTTCATGTGCTAGGAAAACTAGACTGCACATGTTGCTATCTCATGCCTCTCACCAGAGATGTCAGTCTGAGCCCACTTAATGGGCCAGAACACTGAGGTTGGAGAGTCCAGTGATTCCCCTAAGGGCGGCGACTGTCAGCATCAGGACTGTGCTCTGAACTCACCACCACAGTCATTTTGTTCCAGAATCCGAAGTGTCTGGGGCAAGGCAAAGAGCCAGTGTTATCACAGCGCTGTGCAGGGATTGGAGGCAGACACGGTGATATTAATGGTGAACATGCTCAGCTGCCAAACAGAAAGTTTGGCGGTTCTCAGACCCTGAAGACCCCGTGGAGCCCAGTCCTCTGTCACACAGTGGGTGTGTTTGGTGTGTGCTGTGACCAGGCAGCCCTTTACGGCTGTCACGCAGACTCCGTTGGGTTCAGGATCATCCAGATGTCATGAGCCACTCTTTGGAGATAGTGTTCCCAAACCCAGTGTTAGATGGCCCGGTGCCTTGATGACACCCTACTCCCCAAACTTGGACGTCCAACGTGGTTATAGCAGAATAAGCCACCTCAAGTGATTACACTCAGAGCACGTCTCAAGAACAGTCTGAAACTTGGGTCCCAGCTTTGGAATGTCGTTACAACACAAGGAGGCCCAAGAGGAACTTGGGGACCCTCAGGGCCTGCGTCCACCAAGGAGCCAGCAGCCCCTTTCTCTCGGGGCTCTGCATGCGCTCGGTTGGGGTATTAAAGACTGGAATGTACGATTTTTACGATTTTCCAAAATGTGCCCTGGCCTTTTTTATATTATTCTTTCCCCCCCTCTTTTTTTTTTTAAACTTGTAACCAATCTGGAAGGGGCTCAGAAACTCTGGAACGATGCGTTTGCCTCTCCCCCCACCCCCCCAGCCGCCTCCTCCCTCCCCTTTTGCTACGGGCTCCACAGCTGTACACTCTGTTATTGAGAAGAGGAACGCCCTGGTTAAATGAAAGAAAGAACAAAAAATGAAACCCAAAGGTTATGGTTCCAGCAACAATGGGGAAAAAATCAGATTTATGGATCTGGTGGGGGAAGGAAGACTGGGAGGAGAGGAACAAGGAAGGACCCGGGATGGCGGACAAACAAGTGGAGTGTGGCAATGTCTCCCAGATCCCCTTGTTCCCGATGCACCCTGCCTCTAAGGGAACATACACACACACACACACACACACACACACACACACACGAGTTGAAAGGTGGAAAATGTGACCGCTCACTCATCTGGATGTTTTCAAACATCTGGATGGTTGGCATGATGCAGATAAAACACTTGAAAGAGTGACTGCATTTTTCACCACCACCCCCCTTTTCTTTTTCAGATGTTTGGGCATCCTATGGGTCCCAGATGTGTTCCAGAAAGAGCCTAACTGAAAGTAGATTTGCTAAGTGTTTTGCGTGGGGAGACTTTTGATTGACCTGTGAGGGCCATCCTCCTTGGCGAAGGAAGCTAATGAGGGTGTTTGGTGGGAGACACATCCAAGTGACTCCACCTGGATTGGGGAATTGTTTTACAATCCGATCCAAAGCCGGGGGACTTAGATTAGAAATCGGGAGAGCTGGAAGCCAGGGTTAGGAGCCAGGGCTAGTCAGACCTGATTTTGTTTCCAACTTCTGCCCTTTTCCAGCTGTGTGACCTTGGGCAAGTCAAGCCTATGAGTTTCAGAACCTGCATGTGTGGAATGCGACTGAGGGCTATTCTCTCGAGGAATTGCCCTGAGTGAGTTAAAGCTTCTCTAAGGATGGCATCTGTCACTTAGCAAATCCTCAGTAAATGCCACGCACTACCATCAAGTCACTTCTAACTCACGACGACCCTGGATGACAGAGTAGAACTGCCCGTTTGGGGGTCTGAGGCGGGACACCTTTATAGGAGCAGAATGACTCATCTTTCTCCTTTGGAGTGCCTGGTGGGTTTGAACTACTGACCTCGTGGTTAGCAGTGCAAGGTGTAACCCTCTGGGCCACCAGGACTCCTTCCGGGCTCAATCAATAGCAACACTGATGTCGTCCTGCGTTGTCCTCTCATGATCGTTGGTCAGCACAGTGGGCTGCATGACTCTCTCTACAGACAGGCATCATGGATGAGCCTGTGCAGGTTAGAAAGAGGTCAGAAGACGAAGGGAGAAATCCCGTGTGGAGGGGTCGAATTCAAGTGAAGGAATGGGGTCTGGGCTGACGTTGACATCTTGGTCAGGTGTGATTCATTCTGATGAGGTTGCCCATGAGACGGTGAACACGTGTGCACTGGTGACAAGAGCTTCTGTCAGCGGAGTGACAGGTGCTGCCTTACTTCATTCTCAGCCTCCCACGTGGCAGGCATCAGTGCTGCATTAATGATGAGGACTGTCAGGGTAGAGGGATCGCTTGCGTCCCACAGATCCTGAGCACTAGGCTCATGTAGTTGCCATCTTCTGGGTTCCAGGCTTTATTTAGGGTCTCCTCGAGCCTCCGCAGTTGGCATGCGAAACTTTGGGTGCACGTGAGATTTTAACAGTTCATGTTCCAGAACATTTTGATAGGAGAGACAGTACCTAGCACTGTTTTATGGGCCCTGAAGGAGCCCTGGTGGTGTTGTGGGTTAGCCCTTGGGCTGCTGACCCCAGTTCAAACCCACCGGTTGCGCACTGGGATGAAGGTGAGGCTGTCGGTTCCTGTAAATATTTATGGTTTCCAAGACTCTGTCTAGGGTCACTGTGAGTTGGAATCAACTCGATGACGGTAAGTAAATAAGCCAGTCACTCCCAAGTGGTTAAACAAGACGTCCTGCTTTCAGCAACAGAACTAGCCCCGCTGCCCCACACAGACGGCTGTTTTAGAAAGGGATTAACTAATGCACAGAAAAGGGAAGGAGTTTGTTTGCCCAGGAAACATCAACACATGAATCATCCCAACTCAGCAAACATGAGCTGAGTACTTGCTTACCTAAGGCATCAAGTAGGGCTTCGAGAGTTCATCAACGTGCCCATCCATCCATCGTACAAATATTTACTGCATCTCTTTATCTGCGTAACAAGGACTTCTTCTCTGAGGAGCAAAGGAAGACTGTGAAGCCAGGCTATTTAGGTTCCCATCCTGGCTCCACGGTCTATCAGCCAAGTGAGACCTTGGGCAAGTTTTTTAAGCATTCTGTCTCTCATTTCTCTCAGTTGTAAAATGGGTATACTAATTAGCCCCACCTCCTAAAGATGTAAGGAGGATGAAAGGACTCATTCCCTTCCGGAGGGTGCTCAGATTAGTGCCGAGTAGAGTAAGCACCCTATCAGTGTTCGTTTGGACCACAATGGTGGAGGTTATTATTACCATGACTCCATACTGTGTACAGTATCTACAGGGCTCTGAGAATAGAGTGGTGGGGTTAGATAGTCCCTGGGTGGTACAAACAGCTAATGTGCCTGGCTGCTAGCTAACGGAAAGATTCGAGGTCCAAGTCCACCTAGAGATGTCTCGGAAGAAGGACCTGGCGGTCCGAACACTCAGCCATTGGTGCGTAGTCCTGCTCTTGACCCACGGGGGCCACTGGGAGTCAGAGTCCACTCGGCAACAAGCGGCACAGGAAGACAGGCCGTGCCCTGCCTCCATGGAATTGACCTTCTGAGGAGGGACGAGAACAGTGTTGGGTTAGTGTTTCTTGAAAGTTATTCTCTTGCCCATGTCACCCCTGAAGTGTTGGCCCTCAGAAAAAAAGGTCCAGCTGCTTGCCTGGAGCTACGCATGCAGTCCGGGACCTTGGGCATTACAGTCCACCCCTTGGTATCTGACTGGCCATTTGGGGCTGTTCTCCGATGCATCGTCGTTCTTGGGCTAACCAGCCCTCTCTGCCTCGAGCTGTCCGGTGGCTGCTGCTGGCCTCACTGGTCTCTCTCTTCCTGTCTTAGCAGATGAAGATTGCCCCACCACAGACCTTCCCTATAAGAAGCCCTACATGGAGACGTCCCCCAGTGACGAGGACCCCTTCTACCGCTCCAGCTACCCCCCACAGCAGGGCCTGAGTGCCTCCTACAGGACCGAGTCAGCCCAGCGGCAGGCTTGCATGTACGCCAGCTCAGCACCGCCCAGTGAGCCAGTACCCAGCCTAGAGGACATCAGCTGCAACACCTGGCCTGGCATGCCCTCCTACAGCAGCTGTACCGTCACCACCGTGCAGCCCATGGACAGGCTGCCCTACCAGCACTTCTCCGCTCACTTCACCTCCGGGCCCCTGGTCCCCCGGCTGGCTGGTGTGGCCAACCATGGGTCCGCACAGCTCGGCGAGGGCATGTTCCAGCATCAGAACCCCGTGGCCCACCAGCCGGTGGTTAGACAGTGTGGGCCGCAGACGGGCCTCCAGTCCCCCGGAGGCCTCCAGCCCCCTGAGTTCCTGTACTCTCACGGCGTGCCGAGGACACTGTCCCCACACCAGTACCACTCGGTGCACGGGGTGGGCATGGTGCCAGAGTGGAGTGACAGCAGTTAAAGCGAATCTTTCATTGACAAAGACATTGACCATGGAGAGAGAGAGAGAGAGAGAGAGACCGTAGCACAGAGAACCCCACGGACAAGACTTTCTTATTTCTTTGACCACGCCTGCACTTAAGGGCCCTTCCCCGGATACCGGGCGAATCCATCCATCGCTTGAAGCCACCATTCGAAACAATGTGATGTTGCCCTTTTGTCTCCGGACTTGCAAAGCCAGCAGAAAGAAGATGGCTTTCCCTACCCTTCGTGAACCCCACACTCATCCGTGGCCACCTTCCTGCCCCCCGACCCCACCCCCAGATGCCCCTTCCGACTTCCTTCTTAGGTCTCCCAAGAGTCTTTGCCTCATCCAGTGCTTCTACCCAGGGTCTAGTCAGAGTCTCCTGCCTGTCTTGGTGTTAATGTTGACGATGTTATATAATAAATAATAATATATTAACTCCCCCACCCCCCCACTTTCAATGATCTCAAGGGGACCCAGTCCCTTCTTTGGGAGAAGGCCTGAGGCAGGTGTGTTTCCAAATATGTGGGGCTCACGCTGCTCTCCCCCCCACTAAATGGCCCTTGTCACCTAAATTCACCACCATCCATCCCCTAGCTGGGGGCAGCCAGGGGGGTGCACATGATGAGCACGCTCGGCTGCTAACGGAAAGGTGGGAGGTTCGAGTCCGCCCCGAGGAACCTCAGAAGAAAGGGCTGGTGAACGCCTGCCCAAACCCCAGCCTCTGGAGCCCTGTGGAGCCCAGCTCCCCTCGGGACCACGTGGGGTCACCACGAGGTGCAGCAGACGGGACAGCCACTGGTTTCCCCTTGACTAAGAGAAGTCCGCACCTACCTCTGCCGAGGGACGTCTCTGGAAATGTCCCCTCGCCCCAGCTTCTCTTCCTTTCCTGCCCTGCCTTCCCCACCCACCTGGGCTCCGTCCAACCCTGTGCTTCCCAGCGGAGTCAGGATCACGCGGGCCTCCCCCTGGCGCCACGTCGTCCTCAGCCCCGCCGCCTCTCCAGCTCTTCTCCCGTCCACCCGTCTGTCGCCGAAACGTGGCCTGCAGCTTCCCCACCGGAAAGCTCGCTCTGAACAACTTCACCAAGTGCCGGGTCGACCTGCGGGCAGAACTGTGATAAGCGGGCCTGGAGCTCTGTGCTGACAAGCGCGG